CTGTACTAAATTCTCTTCTGTTTAGCATCTACCTCTGAATCTCAATGTAGAAAAAAAGGAAAACATTTTTCTCTCTGAATTAGAAACAGATAGAAGGAGGGGAATTCTTAGGGGGGAAAAAAAAACAAAAAAAACCAAAAAAAAAAAAAACCAAACAAACAAACTCAAAGCCAAACAAAATAGGAGGTGTCATTGGTATTAAAGAAAGCAAGGTTCTTCTTTCATTTTTGCTGGATGAAAAACTTTTTCCCAGGATGTAATACAAAAGCCCAGTTTTTCTCATTCTAAGAAATCAGACGACTCAAAAAAGTTGTGCTACTGCTTTCCTCTATGCCCCAGAAATCAAAACAAGGTAGAGGTTTAAGGTGGTACACTGATAGATTGAGGGTACCTTGTCCTATGTAATCTTTTGAGCACCCACTAGCAAAAATAAAATAATATTTGGCATTCTATTTTCATCTTCCTCATGGCAAAAAGTGATGATACTTACTCAGCAGCTCATCTTGTTGGATCTTACTCATTAGATCCGTACTCAGCAGCTCATCTCAAAGGATTTAAAATTCACACAATTGTCTTCCAAGATATCATTTAAGCTTAGCTGGTGGAATATGAGATGAAGTGCTGACATTATGGAATTCTTCAAGTGAGAATCCTTCATTTTATTTTGTTCTATTTGATTTCATTCATTTTTCAGAATTGAAATGTCACAAGGATTAATTAAACAAAATGAAACAAACAAACCAAAACACATTGACATTTCTGAAATTGGAAAATTTAATTTAGTTTTTCTGAACTAATCCAGCACAGTTATGTTTCTGCCACTGAAATTTGTACGCGGGTGTCTGTTCCATAAATGTCCCAGCTTTGTAGTCCCTATTCCAGTTCTTGTACTAATTTCTACATTTATTTTCAAATCGGGACATTAAAATGTGGCAGAATTCTGGGCTGATCAGATACAATTATATTTTTTTCTACATGAACATACACCTGATATTTCTAATATTTCTTTTTTCATGCTTAATTTTTTTCTACCTGTAAATAGGTGTATTGAGACATATTGCTACTTATATCGAAGTAGAAAAACTCTAACACTTGTAGGTGACTGATCATGTACATGAAAATGTGTATGAGGGTTACGTAAACAAACGGAAAAAATATTTGTCTTGCTATTCTTTTAACATATTTTGTTATTCACAGCTGAATTCTGCCTTGCACTACATATGACCTGTATCTCATGACAGGCACTGCCTTCTCTGCAGGAGAAGGGAGAAAATGAATGAGTTACTTACAGACACCAGCCCAATTCAGGCTGTTAGGATCTGATCATCAGCATAAGACCTCAGGCTGAAGATAGAGAAGAGATGACATCCCCTATTTCATTCAATTTATAGCTAAACACTGTTTAATAGTAAGACAATAAGAGAACTCCATTCCTTCAGGGCATCTAGAAGATTTGTCTCCTCTGAATTCATTCTTACGTGATTCTATCTTATGATGGGAGTAGAAACAGAGGGGGAAAAGACAATCAGTATCTGCATGTTATTTTCCAAGCACAGTGTATTCTATCATAACAATATTCACTGGGAAAGGAAAAGGAAAGGGTAAAGGAAAGTAAAAGAGACAGGAAACGTCTTTGGAAAGATCTGATTACAGCGAGATATTCAGATTCTTTTAATGACTGGTTATGCACCATTTCCACAGACTTTTCAAACAAGCCAATAAGTACACACATAAGTAATTATATTTTGTTGCAATTTATGAAACTTTTTTCCCTCTGGAAAAAAAATTCATTACACAGAAAGCAAAAAAATGCACAAGATCATCATTAAATAATATTAGAAAATACACAAAATTATTTTTAAATAGATTCAAGATAATTCAATTAAAAATCCTCTCATTAGTATTGTAGATCAATCCATGTATTTTTATATTTACAGTGACTCATGTGTAACTTCTATCTTCTTTTCCAGAAACTGTGACTTGGAAGATACTTTAGTAGGAATGGAATTCTAGTTGCAAAATTATTAAAGATTAAAAGAAGGGGGAAAAAAGGATGCATTAAAAAAAAGAAATTCTTTCATTCAACATCGTATATTTATTTTGTATAATGACAAGAGACTGCTCAGGAGTGAAAGAAAAAGTTATTGCATTTCAGCCTATGAAGCTCTCCAGGCCTCACTTCTGTTCTCTCTTGGTTCCACTTGGCTCCTCTTGAAGCTATACCTCCCTTAAGGGGTTATAAGTAAGACTAGATTTAGAAAAAGCTGCATAGCAAAATCCCCATTAAAAACTCCTTCTATAAGTGGCAAAGACCCCAACAATAAGAAAACAAAACAAAGCAAAACAAACAGCACAAATCTCACTAATTCAGTATTGAGTCTCCAGAGCTACAACTATTATGAAAGGCTTCACTGATATTGTGAGCAATGAAACTCTTTCTATTTTCATAGCACTTCCAGTTTCCAGAAGTGTTGTGCTGGTTATTTATCTATCCTGGAGTAATTCTTTTTAGCTTAATGAAAATTTGAAATGCAAATTCCAATGTTTGCTTTACATGGCACATCTTAGATTATATCCTGTGACAAGATCCAGCATTCTCAGTAAATGAGAATGTCTTGTTTAACATCTGTCAACAATAGGTTTGGCCCTTTCTACACGTGTGTCTAGTTAATTCTGCCTTGGTGAATGAACTGTCACCTCTTCTTTATTAGTAGAAAATCAGTGAGAAGTATAGTTTATAAAAAAGCAGGTTTTTTCCAAGTGGTAGATGGCAACATATCTCTGAATTCCAATTACACTTCAGTTTCCACAGAGCTTAGGAGAGCATCTGTCTCCTTTTCACATTCTTTTGGTTTGCTCTATCTCAACCTGTACAGAGCTGATGTCAGACCATGAATAAACAGTAAGAAGTAACCATTCTTACTAAACAGCAGCTCTCACCAAACATTCCTGTTTCTTAAAACAAGAAACAAAAATGAAGCTTGATAAAAAGTGTAGAAGATATGAAAATGTGATCTTAGTTCATTTTGATTCCCTTGCTTAAATTTAATGTCAAGATTTAGACAAATCAAGTTTTTTCTAGCTCAGACAAAAATGCTAGAGGTAAGAGAAGCATGAATAAGTCTCTGTCAGCTTGTTTTTGATATATAATTTCATGAATAATTAAATAATGTGTACTAGAAACACAGTGTTGTCAAAGAACCTTAAGCTGTATAACATAATGTTTGCTTTGATTTGAGAAAAAAAATATTAGCTGATCTATCTTATCTATCTTAAAGCTAAAAGTGATATATGTTGATAAACTGTATTCATTTCCAGCCTGATACAGAAATTATGTCACTTATACTAAAGTCATTAGGATGAGATAATCCTCAAGAAGTTTTCAGGAGATCATCCTCAAAAGACTCACAAGTGATTCTGAATAGTCTTACAAAAATCAAGCTGTTCAGATAATTTATATCATACTTTCCTATAGAGAACAAATCTTTCTGACTCTGTCAGTATGGGCACGATGGGTGGACAGTTTTCCTGTGTTACTTCAAGCTCATTCAATTCAAGTTTTAGTCTGTGATATTAAGGGTGCTTGTGTTGATTTGGTAAAAGTCAATTTGGTCTTGACATCTAGATGTAAATAAATGAAGCATGGATTCAGCAATAGCCAATGTGCCAGATTCCACATCTGCATCAACCAGACCTGTTCCTTTTGCAGACCATATCTCACCATGTAGTTTGACAGCATTATCCATTCTAAAGGGTTGCACTTCCTCATTTACCATCTCTTGTCTTCTTCCCATGACATTTCTGAACATCAGACTAAGATCTGCATAGCTGTCCATAACTTATTTTACTAAAAAAAAAAGAAGTTACCATGTATGTGGCAGAAGTACAGAAAAGAAGTTTTCCATTTCCACATAGAAACAGATGTTAAATTTTCTGAGACTGTATGAGGAAGAAGAAAAAGGGAGAGAGTTTTTTTTTTGAGGTAGGTGGCTTGGAGGTTTTTTTAGTTTTAGCTTTATCATTCACAGGACAGATTATGTCTGATTTTTTTTTTTTTTTTTTTCCGTTTGGAACTCTCAGAAATATTCTTGACCTGGAGCTATAACTGGTGTAGCACTAGGCTTTAAATTCTCCCACCATAAACATGTTTTCCATAATAATTACTGAAGTGTTACTGCAACATACAGTTCTTGTTTTCTCACCAAGTATCCTCCTTTTTTTTGTTTTTTTTAAGGCACAATGAGTATATGAATTAATCCTCTAAATTTCTTAAATTGACTTAAGATAAAAGCTGATGTCTATGGAAAATTATTACCTGTTGCATAATTATTCCACAGTATTTTTAGGTGGTTTTTGTGGGTTTTTTTTTTAATTGTATTATTTTATATTTTTTCATTTGATTATGAAACCCCAACATTAGCTAGTAGATGAAATTCAATTTTCACAGACAATTATAACGAAACAAAAGACATTCATTTAATGTCCCTAAAAACATGTAAGGTGATAAACCAATATCTTGTGCATACTTTTTTTACTCAGCTTGAAGATTGTATGATTCTTGAAACTAAATAATTTGGTGGAAAAAAAATGGCCAGAGGGCAAACCCCAGACTATAAAAACTCTTTTCTTTGACTAACTTTTGTGACTGCTCTAAATTGACCACTTTTTTCCCTGACTAATCTCTAAACAGAGGGCATATCCCTTTCACTTGCAAAATGCTCTCACACAAAATAAATTACCTTCCCACAACCCTGGTTACTTGCCAGGGAGTACTTTATTTTTCCACTAGGAAGAAGAAAATCAGCTTGTATTTTGCTTGCTAGAGCCTTCTGCATTTTAATTCTGGACTCTGAATGGACATCAGAGAGGCTTTATGATGTTTTGCACAAAAGTGCCTGTGTTCATAGTTTTACTCGGAGCACCCAAAATAGCATGCAGTGAGCAGTGTCATACTGTGAGTTTTCAAAAGTAAAAGCAGAACTGACTTACACTGGCAGGAAGCTGTTACTCCTAGAGCTTTCTGAGGATTTGGGAAGTAAAACAGGACTGCTTACTCCTCTGCATCCCATGTTTCATGAAACTTTTGCAATATCCATTCTTTATTATTCTAGAAGGCCCTGAAATTACACAGGTAAGATATGTTTTTACTTTTTTTTTTTTTTAATTTAGTTATTATATTCTAAAATCAGACTTAAAACATTTATCTGGGTGTGTCCAGTGCAAAAGACACAAAAGGCAAAGACAAAGAAGAAGCCCCTCAAAACCTCTAGAAAGAGAGGTATGCTTTTGTTTCTTCAGAGTCCATCGTCTAACTTCTATATCTGTGAAATTGCAAGTTTCTAAATTGGATTTACCAGAAGAAATATTCACTATGCTTGTTTTATGTTCAACTTACATGTTGAAATTTTCATGGTATCAATCAATTTTTTGCAAGACCCCCAGCTCTGACAGAATGCTTATGGTTGTTTGAGCTGCACTTATGCAACTGATTGTCATGAATGTGTGCCTACAATTTCTGAGGGTGACATCAGAAGTGAAAATTTTCTTGTTTTAAAGGAACAGTAGGAAATACTCCTTGTCTTGTTACTCTTCACTCCAGAAACAGAAATAATATATTTTTTCTTGTTATCATTCACATTTCTGTTTCCATTCCTCTTTATAATCTCCCAGCTAGAAACTGCAATGTCTTTCAGACCACAGAAAATGTGTGCCTCTACTTTCGTCAGATCTTAAGTGTGAAATGGCAATTTCTTAATATGAGTTTTTCGAACAGTGCATTGCATACACTGGCAAAATATTTGCATTGCATATTTCTTTTGTAACACTTCTGTAAGGAGGTATAGTTAAAATTTATTTTTAAAGCTCAGACTTTTCAAACAGACTGTAGTCAAAAAACATCCAGTAGAATATAGCCCAGAGATATTTAGAGTTGTTGATTTGTTATTGAAATACTGAGTGCCTGTCAACTTTACATTTCTGCAAATTATTTTGCTATGAAACTGGTGGGAATTACACAGCTTTTAGAGTATAATGTCATTTTTTAATGGACTGTTACTTAGAATCAGTTGTGGTTGCAAAAGCACTCCTGATAGACTACTTTTATTTTATACCTGGATGAATTTGCACTACGGTGAAAAAATTGATCTGTGGGCTCAGTTTTATGGAGTTATGGAGATACATTTCAATGTTCAGCATTTTTCTGTTGGAAGTGTGGAACCAAACACTTACATGAAATAAATATAGGTCTGTGACTGGAGTTCAGACTTTCTGCATTTTTACAGAATAAAAAATGCATCAGTGAAAGAGCTAGACAATGAAAATCTGTTCTTGGACTTATTTTTAGGTAGTGGAGAGAGGATCAGAGAGGGCCTTGCTCACAAAATACTCTAAGAAAAGTAATTTAAGATAAAAGAACAAAGTCACAAATCTATTACGGAAAGCCACGCATAATTAGAAGTAAAAGTTAACTTCTTTTACCCAGTGTAAGGTAATGTATGGAATTATATTACACACTTTATATTCAAAACTGAAAAATGTGTAGTATCCTAAAAATGAAGTCTATATTATTCTTTCATGTGTTAGAATGTTTTACAATTACCGATGTGAAGTAATTTTCGGACTGTATCAGCGCAATTTGATACTGAATTAAGAAAACAATATACTATATGCCATACAGGCATATAACCACAACATTTTAATGATGTTGTGGATTAAGCTACTTGTTGCTTTTCATCATTATTCTTTGGTTTATTTGATTTGGTACCTTATATGTATATACTTTTGGCTGAAATTTCCATTGTGTAGTCTTCTCATCATGTTTTCTGAAAATACACTTGGAATCTGCTTGTTTAACTTAATCAGAAATATTTGACTATTACTTAAATGAGTTTAATTCATAAGGTAATTTTGTCAACAGATCTAACAATACAATAGATAATACTGATTTAAAATATTAGATTCTTTTTAGGTAAAAACCATTATTTTGTTTTTACTTTGTAAGTCACAAAAAGTTTTGATCTTTACCACAAGGAGTAGAGATAGGTTCCACCACAGTCCCTTAACTTTTTTCAATTTCAACTGTGCTCTAGCCCCTTTGATTCTAAAGGGGGTGAGATGTGTCACAATGTTGTTCTTATCTGTCCTTCCAATTTTATTTTTCCAACAACATATTTGTTTCTGCAAATGGATGAATCAAAGGGCCAGAGAGTGTTTATGGTCATCCCAGCTGTCCTGGTTATCCTGGTTCTCCATTACAGACCCTGCTAAGCAGGCATGGTACACATCCATTACAGAGGAAGCTGATGTGGCTCAGGACCACATAGACAGACCAGAGGACATAATTCTGCTTTGGATACACAAGTCAAGGTCTCTTCTCTGCATGTGCATTGCCTCTAGCACAAAAGAAATTGCAGTTGCTACTGCTAACAAGATGTAATTGTTAATAATGTTTGCAAAAGAACATTTCTCCCAGGCTTTCTATTAGGGACACAAACATAGCCAAGACCTCGGTATTAAATTACAATCTTAGAGTCTCAGGACACTGACCTAACTGTTAAAGCAAACTCTTTTGAGAAAACATAATTAAGGAAAAAAGGATATTTAATTACCACAAATACATTAAAAAATTAACACCTCAGTAAAAGACTTTGTATCTGCAAATATTGTACTGTAATTAAAAATACCATACCTAAAGATTGCTGAGACTATCTTGAGGGAGAACTCTAACACGTACTCTGATACAATTTGTGGAGTGAGAACTCTTTTGCATTGGCACTGTATATATATTTTTTTTATTACTAGGGAGTGACAATTGTTAAAACTTTAAAATTGTTAACGAAACATTAGAGGAAGCGTAAGATGTCATTTAACATTTTACTTTTTACACGTAATTTTGACACATTGGAAGCCAAAAGACACCATGGTAGCATGAATTATAAAATATAAGTAACAAAAGAATAACTGAATTGTGTGACTGAATACTATCTTTAGTATTAATGTGATTAAAATCTAACCAGGTCTGCAAAATATGTCTGCAAAATTTTTCAGTATTTTAATGATCTTTTAGACAGTGTTAAATAAAACAGAAAATTAAAGTTCTTGAAATTTTATTTTACTTAAAAATTTTCTGTTAAAGACTGGGTTTACAAACATATTAAGCAATAATAGACATTACTGTTATGTTCAAAAACTATTTCAAATGCTCTGTGCTCATTGTCATGCAGAATAAAGAAGGTTTGAAGCTCTTCATTGTTAACATTTGGATAGTCTAGTCAAAATGATGAGTTTTCTCTAACTACCAAGATTACAAAAATTAAAAGGGATTTAAAGAGACAATGTTTGTCAAATGGTAAAGATATTGTATTTACACAGTCCTTTCCCTGTAGAGAACCTTTTCAGAATGGTGAATAAGATATAAACCTTCCATCTTTGCTAGCAAATTAGAAAACAGTGCTGCTTTCAGTTACTGCCCAGTTCAACTTTGAACAGCTGATTTCTCCGTCCTCCATGAGATGCAGATAGTTGTTGGAGAACATTAAGGGCATTGCTGGTGCTGTTTTTATGTATCACTGTGATGTATATTGCCTAGGCCAAAATTTACCCTTAACAACAATTCCCAGTAGTAGAAGAGCTAGAATGATTTATGCTATTTTATATCTCATGAGATACTCCTGGAAAATAAAAAGATATTTCCAGACAAATTAAGACGACAACTAGTCTTACAGAACGAAAACGTGGTAAGTGTATTGGTTTTCCCCTAACATCAAATTTAACATATAAATTGAATTTGTTTCAAATGCCAGGTCTTTATATAGCTGGCATACATGGCTATTTTCATAAAAGACTGACCCAGAAAATGTATAAATAGCATTTGGAAATGTCACATAGAGATAAACTACGATGATTGCTCAGCTTTTCATATGCACTCTTTCAGGGGTGAGCAAATGTTACAAAATTAGACTCATTTTCTGGTGTCTCACTTGTAATTTTCTTCTATTCCATTCTTTATCTCAACTATTTTGTGAAGCGATCACATTAAGGAAACATTTTTTTTCCACTTAAAGATAATAGGAAAACAGAGCCTAGACTCAAAGTCTGCCACAGCATAAGGCCAATTTCACAGTGTGCAGAAGAAATGGGCCCAGGTACCTGAACATTTTAATCAGAGCTATATGAAATATTATGAGTGACACTACTGCTCTGGCCTGCAGCCTGGGGCAGTGGCAGCGACTCTGCTCTCCAGGAAGAAGTTCAGGCAGGTCAACAGAGCAGTCTCCACCACATGGTGCACAGCATCAGATGGGTCTCTCTGATTCCCTCTTTGAGTCCTCCCACAGGTACACAAAGAGTTTCTTTCCTCACATTCTGTGGGATGCCTCTGCCATGCAACTCCCTGAGCAACCCCAGCCCCATCAGCTACTGGTCCCACAGGTGGGTACTGGCAGGGATTCCCCATTCCAAGGCACAGCACTCTGCAGCAGCCCATGGCTGCAGCTGTGACTGGGCTTTTCAGAGCTTTTGTCCTCTGCTGGCAGCTCCTGCAGAGCAGCACCACAAAGTGCTTACAATGGGAGCCCAAACCACCCTCAGGTGACAGTCCAAGACTGGATCATGAAGGATCCTCATTTGATGGGCAGAGCTAGTTCCACCACCACCTTCTGAAGGACCCACACATATAACTGAGTGCTCTTAGCAACCCAGCACTAACAAAAAGTCCAAGTTTCCATTACACCGAGTCCTTAAAGAGCAAACCTGAGTTTAATTAACCTAAACCCCCTCCAAATAATTAAATGTTTTAAAAATAAGTTATTTTCAGCAGATAATATTGCTTATTTCCCCCAAAATGAAATTATTCTCTCAGAAGAGAAGAAAATTTAAAACAACTTACTCCCAAATGTAGTGTCTATAAACACAGTATTGTTGCATGCATGAAACATTCAAAGAAACTCTGAAATAAAAATTTATAGTCACATTTGCCACCTATATTACACAAACTGTAAAAGTAAATAATTCAGACATGTGAATAACTGCTAAGTTGTCATAAATAATGGATTTTGCTTTTTTCTCCATTGGGTTTTTGTAGTGTAGTTTGCCTGTTTATTCCCTTTTTCTTTTAATTTCTTTTTTTTTTTT